TTTTTTTGCTGAGGAAGATTTGCCCTGAGCTAACATCTGCTGCCAATCTTCCTCTCTTTGCATGTGAACCGCCACCACAGCATGGCCACAGACAGACGAGTGATGTAGGTCCACACCCGGGAACCAAACCCAGGCCACCAAAACAGAGCACACTGATCTTAACCACTAGGCCACCAGGGCTGGCACTATTCTTTCACAATTTTTTTTGCTTGATTTGTACTTGTTAGATGAGTTCATGTTGTTATGTGCAGCTCTAATAAATTAATTTTCATGATTGTATGGAATTCCATTTTATGAACAAAGCATAATTTCTTTATCCACTGTCTTATAAATGGTCATTTAGGATATTCTCGGAGTTTTTTCCCCGCTATTACAACCATTGCTGCTATGGACATTTTTAAACTCGCATCAATGTTTCTTTTTTTTTTTTTTTTTAGTGGGGAAGATTGTCCCTGAGCTAACATCTGTGCCAATCTTCCTCTATTTTGTACGTGGGACACTGCCACAGCATGACTTGATGAGCAGTGTGTAGGTCCGCACCCAGGATCTGAACCCACAAACCCAGGACCACCAAAGCAGAGTGTGTGAACTTAACCACTATGCCACGGGGCCAGCCCCAGCATCAACGTTTCTGAAGGATAGACATTTAAGAGTAGAATTGCTGAGGGGCTGGCCCGGTGGCGTAGTGGTTAAGTTCCTGTGCTCTGCTTCAGTGGCCCACGATTCACAGGTTTGGATCCCAGGTGCGGACCTATGCACTGCTCATCAAGCCATGCTGTGGTGGGGCCCCACATGTAAAGTAGAGGAAGATGGGCACGGATGTTAGCTCAGGGCTAATCTTCCTCAGCAAAAAGAGGAAGATTGGCAACAGATGTTAACTCAGGGTCAATCTTCTTCACCAAAAAAAACAAAAAGAGTAGAATTGCAGAGGCTTAGAAGATGTGTACCTTCAACTTGACAAGATAGTGCCAAGCTTTGCTCTGAAGTGATTGCCCCAATTTACACTCACAACAGTAGTGTAAGAGTTCCTGTTGCTCCACATCCTCTGTGACCTTCGGCATTTTCAGGCATTTCAGGCAGAAGAGATTTACCATGAAGCTTAAGTTTCAGGACCCTTCATTTGCTTGGGCCCCCTCAAAAGCCTCATAGCTAATTTCGTATTTGTAATTTTGTATACCTTTTCTTAAAATGAGCACATATGTTGCCTAAGCTTCAGGCTCCACCAAATCTAGTTTCACCCCTCCTGATGATAAGTGTGAAATGTATCTCATTGTGGTTTTAATTTACTTTTCCCTGATTACCAGTGAAATTGAACATTTTTTCACATGTTAATTGACACTTCAAGTTTCCTGTAAATTGACAGTTCATACCGAGTTTTTGCCTTTTGTCTTATTGATTTATAGGAGTTCTTTACATATTCTGGACGTTAATCCTTTTAAAGACTTACTTGGGGCAAATATCTTGTGAAGTCTGGAGTTTGTCCTCACTTTTGTTATAGTGTCTTTCATGTTTTAATTTTAATGAACTAGGATTTATCAATCTTTTCCTTTATGATGTGCATATTTTTGTGCAACTTTACTGCACCTCTGTGCAGTATTTCTGTTATACCAAGGTTATAATGGTATTCTTTTTCTTCTAAAAGTTTAAAAATTTTGCTTTTTACATTTAGGTCTTTAGTCAACTTGAAAAATTTTGTGTGTGTACGGTGTGAAATTTGGATCTAAATTTTATTTGTTCTATCTGGATAGCCAGTTGTCTTAGCACCATTTATTGAATAATGCATTCTTTCTCTACTGTAGCACAATCTCAATCACATGTCAAGCTTCAGTATGCGTCTGGGCCTTCCATTCTGTTCCACTGGTATATGTCTCATATAGCACAAATAGAGCACATCATTACTAAAGCTTTGTAATATGTCTTTATATCTGGCAGAGTAAGTCTCCTCACTTTTTCTTCTTCAAGATTGTCTTGAATTTCTTGGCCGTTTCTGCTTCCATACAAGATCTAGGACAAGTTTTTCCAGTTCTATGGAAAAAAAAATTTTTAGATTTTTATTGCAATAGCATTTAATGTAATAGATTCATTTGGGGAAAACATCTTTATGATAGTGAGCCTTCACATCTATGAAGATGTATGGCTGTATATGTTTCTCAGCTTTTCTTTTCATCCCTTAATGATGTTTTGCAATTTTCTCCATAAAGTTCTTCTATGTCTTTAGATAAGACTTATCCCTATTTATCCTCGTAGATTTTGTTGCTATTACCAGTGGTATCTTTCTTCCTATTACATTTTCCATTTAGTTATTGTTAGTATATAGAAATGCTTTTTATTTGCCTTTGTTCGGCTTGTATCCTATCAACCTTGCACAACTCTCATATTTGTTCTAAAATTAATCATTGTTAATGTGATCAATGGTTCTGAGAGTCTATCTTTACAAAAATTATTTTCCAGTTCTTTCAGTGACCAAACATAAAAACACAATTTGATCAATGCACTGTAGTTCTGAATAGATGCTGTAAATTTGTTAAGACAATAAAAAACAGTATCTATCACATGCTTTAAATGATGCCATAGCTAATTTAATTATACAGTTAGTACGTGTTTGAGCCAAATTTAAAAATACAGGTTAGAACATTAATTTAATTTAGAACATTAGTTTAGAACAGACTCTAATGACTCGTATAAATTTTTTTGGAATTGTGTTTTATCAAATAAAATTCATTCATTTAACTGTCATTCAACCAGTTCTGTGATAGACTCACTCTGGGTCCTAGTGGTGAATAAGACAGTCAAGGTTCCTGCCTGTGCGGAGCTTTCATTCTAATGAGGGAGCCAACTGTTAGACAAGTAGTCACAAAAATAGTTGTTTATTTTAAAATTCTGATGCTATGTTGGAAAAGTACAGGATGCTATGAGAGAATACCACAAGAGGAGATAATTTAGATTGGGGAATCAAAGGGCTTCTCTCTAAGGAAGTGACATTGAAGCTAAGCAACAAGAGGGAGGACAGGAGCACTTAAGCAGATGAAACAATACCTGACAGGAGCTGGCAAGTTCAGAGGACTAAAAGAGGCCACTGTGGCTGGAGTGGAGAAAACAACGGTGAGAGCGGGACCAGATGAGGCTGGAGAGTTGGGCAGGGGGATATCATGCAAGATATTGGAGGTCTTTTGTCCTAAGTATAATCATTAGCTCCCTGAAGAGGACTAGCATGAAAAGATCATTCTGACTACTGGGTGGGGAAGAGACTGGGAGGGCTAAGAGAGGAAGCATGAAGCACAACAAGAGGCTCTTGTGAGGGATGCTGGTGACTCAGGCTAGAGAGGCAAGAGTGGAGATGAAAACCAATGGCCTGGTGATATATTTTGGAGGTAGATTCAACAAGACTTGGTGATGATGGATGGGCTGAGGTTGGGGGGAGTGTTTGCCAGAGGAAGAATCAGGGATGATTCCCAGGTTTCTGACATAAGTAGAAGAGGGTGTTCTTTACTGGAATGAGAAAGACTAGAGATTAAGTAGATTTCGGAGGAAAGACCAAGAGTTCAGATTTGGATTTGTCAAGTTTGAGATGCCTATGAGGCATCGAAGCAGAGATATTTGGTAGACAGTTAAATATATGGGTCCAGAGGGTTGGAGATAGAAATCTAAAAGTCACTGGGAGCCACAGGACTCTTATGTAGAGCAAGTGGGTACAGAAAGAGAAGAGAAGGGAGTCCAGGACAGAACCACAGGGAATGCCAAAGAAAGAGCTGAATAGAGGAGGAGTTGGCAAAGAAGCATGAGGCAAAAAATAAAGAGAAATGTGGTAAAAAAAAAAAAAAAAATTTAACCATTTTAAAAAGAGGATTTCCGGGAAGAGTAGTCAGCAGGTCAAATGCTAAGAGATTAAGTAAGATGAGGATTTAAAGCATTCATCGGCTTTAGCAACATAGGGTTTACTGCTCTTAGCAGGAATAGTGGTTGGGCAGAAATTAGAGTGCAAACAGAGGCCTATTGCCTGGAGTTGGGCGAGCTGCCTAACCAGGGCCTTTATCATACCATGAGTTAACCTGTACCCCACTCTCTTGCAGTTCATGAGATATCCATGTGTCACCCAGCAGAGAAACAACACCTCCAAACTTCCATCTAAACTGGTAGGTAAAATGTCAGGGAAACAACACTTGCTGAGATAGTTTTTCTTTTACTTCCATGTGCACATCTGCTGTGTAAATCTCTGCAAACCAATGAAATCCACACACATACACAAGTGCAATGATTGGTATAATCTCACAAGGAACTTGAGGAAGCTGTTGTCATCATCCCTTCTGCTGATCAGAGTCTCAAAGGTCAAGACCACACTGGAGTCTTTCCATTGTTGTAAAAGTTAATGAAAGTTAATTATTAAAGTTGAAGGAAAGGTAATTTCTCCACTGACTTAACGTAACCTATATATATACATCTCTATACATATGGATGCATTCAGAGCCTATAGACCTAAGCGGATGGACACTGTCCCTTAGAACTGGGCTACTTTATCTCAGAAGTGTTTCACTGTTGCTGAGCTATCTCACTGAATGTGTATCAGGTAGGAACCAAATTTATTATCATCTTACTCAAACTGGTTTTCTGTTTCTTAAAAATGGTGTATCTTCTGATCAAAACCTATTTAGAAGTTAGGGTTGTGTTTTTGAGTTCATTCCATGAGGAATATTTGAATGATTCCACTAACAATAGACTAAAAATGTATGTCTGGAGCCCTAGCAATGTGAAGTAAATGTTGAAGTAGACTTTGATTTGACCTAGTAAATGGTTATATGTATTAAAGCTTAAATAGCCTTTGCAAAGATAGCAAAGGGTTTTGCCTTAATTATCCACATAATTCCTTTAATTCTGCACCTATATCTGACTCTATAGGTAGACCGTCTGTTCTGAAGTTTGGTAAACAAAGCAAGTTTTTAGGAAAGGTTTTTCCAGGAGATAGAATCATCTGTTGGAAGGCATTGATAAAGGCCTTTTGGTCCAGAAGTAAGGGATTTATCTTGGACACCAGAAAGTTCAGGAAGGGAAAGGAGGAGAGAAGAAAAGAGATTAGAAGCAAGTAGGATAGACAGTGAAGAAGGAAGAGAGAGAAAGAAATTGTCATTGAGAAGTAGCAGAGTGCCATATGCCATGTGTAATATTAAACCGTGCAGGGGTACTTATCTCATGGATTACCAGTCCTAACGAGATAAATTTTATTTCATTCTTTAAAATGTCAAGAAAAGATCACACAGCATTCTTTAAATGTGTGAGTGAGAAACAGCTTATTAAATCATTGGACTAAATAATTCTCTTTTCCAAAGTAAATTTGTCATTTAGAGAAACAGTGTAATGAAAGTTGGCCACATAAAGATCATTCCTACTGCAAAATTAGGAGGAAACTATTTGATTTCAGAAACAAATAGTTTACAGTGGGTTAATACATACCTTGCCTCCTCCGTGTGGATAAACTAATAAGTAAGTATATAAATAAATGAACAAATGTGTCAATATCTACAAAATAGCTCATATTCAACTTAGAAAGAAACAGTTTGCAAAGTGGGAATGAATATTTTTTAATTGCTAGAATAAATAAGTAATAACTTAGTCCAGCTTCTCTTCATAATGAAGGTCTTTTTTTCTCCAAACAAAGAGAAAAGAAGAGTCTCCTCTAGACTCTGTTTCACTTTGTTGGGGAAGAAAGGGGAGAATAAACCAGTTCATTTCAAGGAGACTGAGCTCCAGGCTACTCAGGCTCACATTATGTGTGTGTGATGTTGAGAGTAGGGGTGTGGGGGGGAGGGCATCTTATGCTCGAGGGCAAGGGCACTGAGGGTACCTCACCTGGAGCTCTGTTCTCTTGCTTTGTCTCTCTTGGGGATCAGGGCTAATGGGCCCCCCCCAACATCAACATGGCAGAGAGGAGTGTATATTAGAATCATTCATAAGACCTGGCTTCTTGTCCTGGCTCTGCCACTTGCTAGCTGTGAGACTTGGGAAAGTCTTCTCTGATCTCAGTTTCTTCATCTGGAAGTTGATGATAGTGATGCCTATCTTCTCTCTATTTCACAGGACAACACTGAAGGGGAAAAAATGAAAGTGCTTAGAAAACCTCAAAGCTTTATAGAAAGTCCAGGGATTCTCTTTATTCTTTTGTGAGGCTACTGGATTGGAAACTCGCTGCTATGGCACATCTTAACATTTCTCTAAAGGTATAGCCTTTTGACCAATAAAGTCTTCTGTTCCAGTTTTTGGATCGTTATCCCTTGAACATGCTTTGCTCATTCCCCCCAGCTTTCTCATCATCTCTCCCAAACTTATCTGTTCTTTAAGTTTTAGCTCAGGACCCCATAGTTCCTTCATGAAACCTCCCTCAACTCCAACCCATGTTCATGTCCCTTCTTCCTCCAATTTATTATCTGTAACGATCATTTGGGGCATTCCTCCTGTGTAGGTAAATTTGGATTTTAGGGCCATGTCATTTATCATTTATATATCTTTTGTTCGTAGTTCAGCCATCTATTTCAACAAACCTTTCTGAGCAATTACCATGTTACAGGTACTATGCAAAATGGAGAAAAAAAATGATTAAGATTTGGGCCTTCCCTTTGGGGAACTGAGTCTTACTGGGGAGACAAACTTGTAGACAAATAATGACAATACAATTTGTACAGAATAGAAATATATACAATGTATATGCAAGAAGGATATTATTAACTCTTTCTGGGGGATTCCATGAAAGCTTTCTAGCATCTTCTTATCTCATACAACTATGTTAGGAACAGAGTTCCTGACCAACTTGTTGAAGGTAGAAATCAATGTTCAGGGACAGCTGAGTATTTTTAAGGCCAAATTCGAATTTGCCAGCTGTTGGAGGAGAAGAACGCAGATAAAGAAAACAACGTGTGCAAAGACATAGAGATGTTAAATATCACGACGTGTTAGTAAGCTACTATAATTGTGAAGGAGGAGTGAAAAACTTATGAGATAAGCTAGAGGCCAAATATGAAGGGCCTGGTATGCCATGCTAAGAAGCTTGGATAAGTAGATGCGTTAAAATTAATGCATGATAATGGAAAACCACCAATTCTGCTAAGCTCAGACTAAACATGAAGTCATAGAAAAGATGGCAAAACTAACATTTTCAGACAGGTTCCAGTTGACTGCGTCATGTAGGCACAGTTGTAAATCGGGTCTACACAATCAATATTAAACTCAGCCCTGAGGCCATTATGTATGCAATTAAAGCTAAGAAGTCTCCCCTTACATACCTTACTTTCAGCCTTAACAACAGCCCTACAAAGAACGTAAACGCATCTCCTTTTACCATTAGATAAACTAAGGCTTGAAGCACTTGACCATAGCAATACAGTTAAGCAACAGCACAGCAAGGATGTGAAGCCAGGTCTACTTAGTTGCCAAATTCTCACTCTTTTCTGCCGCGTCTCCTAACTAAATTAAGTTTGACTTAGTTTTTCAGCAGTAAGGCTTATAATAATTGCCAATAAAGAGTTGTCAATAATAATAATAAATTTAGTGCTTGAATTCAGATTAAGATAAAACTCAGCTAAGTTCCTAGAAGATGTTATAAGACCACTATAAATTAAATAGGTCACATAAACTGACTTCTTGAATAAGCAATGCAAGACACATGTGATGTTCTTGCCACTATGGATGGTGAACTAGAGTTCTGTGAATTAGCTATATTATTTTGGCAAAAAGAAAAAAAATAGAAAAAAGTCCAAAACCTTTTCCCTTAGCCATCTTGCCTTGGGACTCTCTAGAGGAACTGCCTCCACACCCTTGGATCCTCACGCCGTCTCATCACTTTTAATAGCCTTCTATGTCAGCTTCTCCCCTCTCTCCAGGGAAAGACTCTGGCTTCAAAAACAATCTGGGTTTGTGAGAGGCTGATAGCTTTCAAAGGATCATCACTGAAGGGTAGGGAAAAACAGGAGTGTTTTTCGTGTTCTAAATGCTAATGAACCCATTTATTTCTCTCAAAGGAATAGCTGCTAGGTTCAGGGTCACATCTATAACAGAGCTTAACTACTTAATTACCTGTCGTGTTTTAGAAGTGGCTGAAGCACACAGGAATCACAGCTTCTAACTAGAAATTATTGCCTGCCCCAGCCTCTAACAACTTCTGACCTCTCTTCATCAACATCTGTACCAATTTCCTTCCCACTTCCCCCCCACACCCTACCCCACCCTAGCCCAGTTACCCCAGATCACCACTCTGGCCCTCCCTGATTCTGATGCCATTATCTCCCTCCTTCCATCGAGCTGGGCACCAGCCAGAACATGGGATTTACCTGTCCTTGATTTCTGGTTCCTCTTCAGCTGCTGATTGAGGTCTCGCTCAAGGTGCTCACTGGAGCAATTATTCTGCTGGTTCTCCCACCTCTCCCCCAAGTATAGCTACCAAGACACTGCTGTATTTCCCGTTGTCTTAGGACCAATTCACAAAATAGGGCTGACTTACCTCTAGTTTTCCACAGACTGGCACAGGGGTATTTTGAGATCCTACTGAGGGGTGGGGTCATCGAGAGCCCACCTTGTGCAGGAGTCGTGGAGCTAGCTAATGTGACGGGGGAGGGGCTGAGACATGCTCAGCACACCTATTTGCCTCCTGCTTTCAAATTACCACTAATTAAAGAAAAATACTAGCATTTCTCCGGAGCATCTTGGTTCGAATTGGTTGTTTCCCAGCAGAAAGGGCAGACCGCTGAAATACTAGAACACTGAATAGTTGAATGCTGAATCAGATCCATAGGACACTTCTCAGTGGAATGGGGCAGGCAGAGCGGAGGTGCTCAGGTAGCCGGAAGCCAGGCAGTGACACCCAGTACTTGGCTGCGGGTTGAAGATGGGTGAAGCTAAGTGGGGGGTGAGGGGTATGCACGTGACCATCCCTAATCACTAGAAATATCAAAAAGTTATTAATAAACCAGGATAGTTAAACTGAAAAAACTGAACTTCAGAAAATAATCCCAGGATTAAATGTCTGCTCAGAAAAAAAAAAGCAGAGAAAGACAAATGTGTATGACTAAGCCACAGGACCAGGGTGTGTAGGTATATCTATGTATATGTATGTGATATATACATTATAAAGGCCAAAAAATTAGAAATAACACATCATAGGAAAGGAAATAAAAGTGGAAATGTATACAGACAAGTCTTAGAGTTCTACAATTATTAGGAGGAAATGTCCTTGAGAATGAATTTGAATCCCTCAAAAGCCACTGATGCCCTAAGGAACCCAGAGAGAAATTTGAGGCATGAAGATAAAACAGAACAAGAAAAGATATACACTAATATGGATGTAATATTTGAAACTGGAATTATGATTCTAGGAACCAAGAAAAATTTTTCCAGGAATTTCAGGGGAAAAGGTAACTTGTTCAGGTCTTTTCTGAAAGTTAAGAAAAATCACTTTTGAATTCCTAACTAAAGTAGGTCATTCTCAAGAATCCCAGAAATGATGAAATGGAGAATGACATTAATTTATGACTCTCTGGAGCTTTTCTCAGCAGAGGCACCGCTGGGTGGTCGATTCAGCGGCTCGGATTGTTAGTTACACGTGGAATATGAGGCAGCAGCTTTTGGGAGCAGGGGCGGCAGGATGGGAAAAAAACCCATAACTGAAATATGGCCCTCGAGGTCTCTTGCTCTAAATTCTGGAAAGATTTCTTCAGCTGCCCTGGTTCCTGACCTTGCGCTTGGGTTTGAGGAGGAGGCATTTTCCAGTCTGAGGCAGGCCAGAGTTCAGGCCTTTGATCCAGCTAGAGGCAGGATGGAGCCCACTAAAGACCTGGCCATAGTCATCCTCAAAGAAGGAAGCTTAATGGAAATGAAGTTATTTCTGCCAACATTGTCACTGGAAAAATTAGACCATTACTTCACAAAGAGAAATCATACAACAGCAAAAGGAAGAAAAGAAGTACTTTCGGGATCTCTTTTTTCTCTTCAATTATTTTATTGAGGTCATAATGGTTTATAACATTGTGTAATTTCAGGTGTACATTATTATTTATCAGTTTCTGTATAAGCTGCATCATGCTCACCACCAATAGTCTAATTTTTATCTGTCACCACACACATGTGCCCCTTTACCCCTTTTGCCCACCCCCTTTCCCTCTGGTAACCACTAATCTGTTCTCTTTATCCATGTGTTTGTTTATCTTCCACATGTGAGTGATATCATGTGATGTTAGTTTTTGTCTGGCTTATTTCACTTAACATCATGCCCTCAAGGTCCATCCATGTTGTTGCAAGTGGGACGATTTTGTCTTTTTTATGACTGAGTAGTATTCCACTGTGTTTATATACCACATCTTTTTATCAGGATCTTTCTTAAGGAAGAGAACTGATGAGTTACCATGAACAACTTGGTGAAAGTGTGAGTAAAGCAACAAAATAGCGGAATCTTTTTTTCCTTTTTGCAGCAGCATCTGATAGAAATAAAATGCACAGTACCTGAGTCTTCTTCATCCTAACGTTGGCTAGGTTGGATACCTTACAGGAGTGAAGCTGTTCTTGAATGACATTCCAGACAGCGTTTGCAAGAGATCTAAGGTGTCAAGAGTCATTGACATAGATTAGATCTTAAGTGTTACCCCAACCATACTGTTGGTAATTGGCAAATAAGGACAAAAATCTGTGCTATGCACAGCAATGAGTAAGCCAACTCAACTTCATGTACATGTTCTTCTGACTATGGGAAGCACTATACAGTTAGTGAGATATGACACCTGGAACTGGGGGCAGAGGGATGGGAGAGAGGATAGGGATGAGAAGCAAAGAGGACGAGCAGCTTGGGGTGGGAGGAGGCTCGGAAAGAATAACAAAGGGGGTTTAACAGTCATAGCAAAGCTCGAAGGGACTCAAAATCTGGAGGTCAAGCCAGAGCGGGGGACAGAAGCACTGTATCGTGGTCAGAGAAGGTCAGTAGAGAGGACTTCAGAGGGGAATGGGGTGGGGGAGAGAAATGAGTGGTCGAAGAGAGGTAATTGGGACCAGAAGTGGATGTCAGCATCTGATTCCTGGTTACAACTTGAGCTCTGCAAACATGCCGACAATCCCTTGAGCTATGAGAGAGCACCATGTAACAAGGTACAATCTAGCTCGAGATGATTCAATTAATAACTGTGATTGAGGTCAGAGACCAAAACTCTGGGTATTATGCATAATAATACAGAACCAAGATTAGAGGGAGAAAATGCTAACAGTGAGTTGGAATGCTCTTTAATTCTGTTCACATTGGACAATAGAGAAGCTGCATGTTGTAGAAGAAATAGCAAAGAAGTCTGAAAACAGAAGTCGCATTTTTGACACTCTGCTAGCTGTGTGACCTGAGAAAAAGTACTTAGATTTTTGTGGCCAGGAGGGTGCTATCATTTTCTCATTTGTTAAGAAGAGGACAATTATAATAATAATAAAGTTCCTCAAAGAATTGTGAGGGCTTAAATAGGTAACGTGCACAATAAGGTTTTGCAAAATTTATCCTTTAAGTATCATAGAAACAGGATTGACATAAGAACAAAAAATGTAAACATCTTGTGCAGAAAATGCAAATAGTTAGAATAATAACTACCATTGAGTCAACTCCTATAGTGTGCTACGCACAATCCTAGATGCTTTGAAAACATTCTCATTTAATCTTCACAATCACCTTGAAACTTGAGTGCTATCATCGCAATTATATGGATGAGGCTCAGAGAGGTTAAGTAAATTACCCGAGATCTTTCCTTAAAAAAAACTCATCACTAGTGAACTAAGTAACCAAGTAGTACTTATTTTGAGCCATAGTTTCCTCAATTATAAATTGTAAAACTCTATTTAACTCCCAGAAACAAGAGGAAAATAACTTAAATGGGCAATATCTTTGAACTTCACAAATTAAAAGCATTTTATAAGGTATCACAAAACTTCTGATGGGTAAAATGGAACAGCCTTGACTGGAGTTAGGGGCAATGAATAGACTTTAAATCTGATCTGTCCCAGTACTTCAATGCCTTAACTTTGGAAACGTTTCTAGAAAAAATTTTAAAGTAAATTCCTTTTCTTGATGAGATCTCACTTTACAAGTAAAAAATGCTCTCACCGATTAGTAAACTGAGTCCATTTCTATTGCTCTTTGGCGATCTTTTAGAAATAAATAAAAGCCCTTGTTTACTTACCCAAAGGAGCTGTGTCCAGCTCATTGAAATAAAAAGTGATATCGCTGTCGCAAAACACAATCTAGGTCCCTTAATCCTGCCTCTTTTGATCTCAAAAGGTGGTAACATTCAGTTCGGAGCTCACTCATCTGTAAATTGCATCACATTATCTCCGAGTTATTTAAGAAGCTAGCTCTGTTTGGTTTCAGGTATTTTAACCTGCTAAAGACAAGAAGAAGGGTTTGCCACATAGTTCCAAAGGTCTTCCACTTACCACAGCTGTCAGAGAAAGCAAAATGATCGAACCCATTGGGAATCAGTATGTCGTGGCCAGGCCAGTATATTCTGCAAATGCTTTTGGGGAAGAACATAAGAAGATAAAAAGACATCATAAGACATTTCTGGATCGTCTCAAACTGTGTTGTAGGTAAGATATTTTTTAAGATACTGCCATTAAGAATAAATGAAGCACTTGCTCCTAAATTTTCAAGCTTTCAAGCTCTCCTTTCTGGCTCTAGCCCATAGTCTTCAGAGTCTCTTTATCTTTGGTTTCCACAAATCCTACTCCCTGCCAGAGCTGGAAAGGTAGTCTCTACAATGAACACTGCCTCAGCTCTCAACACAATCTTTCCATGACAGAGGGCTAATAGATGAGGACAGAGGAAAATTCGCAATTGAAATGCTGTACAATTCAAGTTGAGGATGACAAATAAGCCCTATCACAGCTAAAGAAAAGCAGCATTTTTCTTTTAAAAAAATCCTTTGGTGGTGGCCAGGAGCCAGTTGATATGGGTATGGAGGTGAATGTTGGTGGGAAACTTAGTGAAAGTACTAGTTTATTCTTTTATAGATTATCATCTATACTAATTTGTCACCTACAATTAGGTACTAAATTTAAATTTTATATTAATTAACTGACCTGTGGCTTTCAATGTTTTTAGCTGTTCCACTCAAAAGGCCAAGAAGATTGCCCTTTCTTTGTTCCCCATAGCATCTTGGTTGCCAGCATATCGGATAAAGGAATGGCTACTCAGTGACATTGTCTCTGGAGTCAGCACGGGGCTGGTAGCTGTACTGCAAGGTAACTTTTATTTGTGAGATATAATTCATATATCATAAAATTCGTCCTTTTAATGTGTACAATTCAGAGTTTTTTGGTATGTTCACAAGATTGTGCAACCATCACCACTATCTAATTCCAGAACATTTTCACCACCACCACCACCACAAAAATTTCCTGCCCATCAGCAGTTACTTCCCATTCTCCCTTCCATCCATCCCCCTGGCAACAACTTTCTGAACCTACGGATTTGCTTATTCTGAGCACCTCATATAAATAGAATCACAGAATATGTGGCCTTTTGTGCATGGTTTCTTTCACTTAGCATAATGTTTTCAAAGTTCGTCCATACTGTAGCATGCATGGGTACCTCATTCCTTTTTATGGATGAATAAAATTCTATTGTATGGATATATCACATTTGTTCATCAGTTGATGGACATTTGGGTGGTTTCCACTTTGTGGCTATTATGAATCATGCTATTATGAACACTTGTGTACCAGTTCTTGTGCAAACATATGTTTCAATTATCTTGGGTACATACCTAGGAGTGTAATTGCTGTGTCATATGGTAACGCACTACCAATGCATGAAGGTTCAAATTTCTCCACATCCTTGTGAAGACATGTTCTTGTCTGCCTTTTTTATTTTAGCTATCCTAGTGAGTGTGAAATAGTATCTCATTGTGGTTTTGATTTGTATTTCCCTAGTGACTAAGGATGTTGAGCATCTTTTCGTGTGCTTACTGGCCATTTGCATATCTTTGGAGCACTATCTATTTAAATCTTCTGCACGTTTTAAAATTAGGTTGTCTTTTTATTGTTGAGTTGCAAGGGTTTTTTATGTATTCTGGATACTAGACCCTCATCCAGGATATGATTTGCAAATAATTTCTCCCATTCTGTGGGAGAATTCATTTCACTTTTTCGATGGTATCCTTTGAAGTACACATTTTTTAATTTCGATGGAGCCCAATTTATCTGTTTTTAATTTGGTTGCTTATGCTGCAGGTGTCATTTCTAAGAAACCGTTCCCTAATCCAAGCTCATGAAGATTTACATGTATGTTTTCTTCTAGGAGTTTTGTAGTTTTATGTCTTATATTTACATCTTTGATACATTTGAAGTAATTTTTTTAAGGGGCTATCTTAATTACTTGAAGAACCTAATGAGAATTCCTATGATTCCCCTTGCACGAAATAAAGAGCTTGATTCTTGTGTATTTACAGGTTTAGCATTTGCTCTGCTGGTCAACATCCCCCCACGCTATGGGTTGTATGCAGCCTTTTTCCCAATCATAATCTACTTTTTCTTGGGCACTTCTAGACACATATCTGTGGGTAAGTGAATTATTGGGCTAATTAATGCTCACAGTGCTTTTTCTTTATTAATTCTATTAGCCACACATTGTATCAATTCCAAATTGTGCATAATCCAGGAAAGGAGTCATAGTTTCTTGTAAGAATTAGGACTGGGGCTTGGGAAAGGAGGCCACAGCTACAGATGCCAGTCTTTCTATATGCTACAGTGTGGTTGAAAGACAGTTGTGGTTAGGGAGCCATATATTGACTACAATTCATCTTCTGTTAATTAGGTCCATTTCCAGTTCTGAGTACGATGGTGGGAGCAGTAGTTGTGAGAATAACTTCAACAGCCAATACAGCTGCTCTGACAGCCTCTAATAGCTCAACGAGTAATGATTCATTGTCCACAGATGAACAGAGTGTGATGGTGGCTGCAACGGTCACAATCCTTTCTGGAATCATCCAGGTGAGCACTTTCTCATGTAATCTACCCTCCCCAATCTGCTTGTCCTGACTGGTACACATCTTTCTGTTTCTTCTCCTTCCTGCCAACCCTCCCTACTCTTCCCTTTGGTTTGTATCCCTCCTTCTGTGGCCCATAGGAAATAATTTAAGAAAGGTCACTCACCACAGCCAGAAGTAGAGGGATAGATCCACATTGCAAAGACAAGTGAATGTGGGTCTAGAGAGAAGGAAAAATGGGAACAGGGAGGCATATGTGGTGAGGAGTGAAATGCTTAATTCAGTAAAATACATGGAAATGATATAGTCACTCAACGTAACTATATACAAGTAAAAGTGACACTGGCAGCTTTGGAACGTTTTTCTTTCTAATTCCTCAGGGACTGTAATCTAGTTGGAAGGGATTTGGGCATTGCACTTTGAACTGTCGAACTGTCCGTATCAAACATCTGGGGAAAACCGAGGAGGATTGTCAAGGAGCCTAAAGCCTCACACCTAAGCCACACCTCTGACACCATTGCTGAATAGTGAAAATGTCACACACTCCTCAAGATGTTGTCTAAGTTTATGGTTAGTGATATTATTGGTTAGGACCATTCCTTAAAGAAAGAAAAAGTGAATTTATACAAGGACATTAGTGGTGTGACCTGTTGACAAACGGCACAGTCAGTTCTTTAGAATACGTTTCTCAACCTAGTTCCTTTACATGTCTACTGCTCCAGCTGCAACCCGAGGCGTGAGTGGAAAGGCAGCCCAGGTATCCAGGGGAAGGAGCATGCATCCATTCACTTTATTGCAAAATATCGATGCTTTGGGGGAATTAACCACTTTTGCCCCCAGCTAAAACCAAGCACTGCTGATGTCCAATACGCAGTTATGTATTTCTTACGAAAGCCAAGCAACTTCTTAGAGGGAATGTGAATGCTTCCTCATCCATGCATGCTATAGCACCTGGAAAGTATAACTTAAAACCACGTGGGAAAATTTATGAGAGCTGATGCTAGATGAGATTCTGCTATGAAAGGCTTATGGATGAGTCTTCTAAAGATACAGCACCTTAGAAAAAGGGGTGGGGAGCCTGTAACTTCTTGGGGGTATACTAGACTTACGTGCTATTTGAACACCACGTAATATTTCACCTTGGGGGGGTGGAAGGAGAGGGAGGAATCCTGAACAGGAAGTGTTCCAAGAAGCAGGAACATCTGCTTCTTCAAGACATACACATACAGGCTGAACCTTCACGTTTTGAATCGTTTTAACAGCTGGTCATTTAGGTTGCTGAGGTGTACTCCTATTCTACATAAACTAACAAAGGCCTGTGCCCTTCTCTTTCCAGTTGCTCCTGGGGGTTCTGCGAATTGGATTCGTGGTGATATATCTATCTGAGTCCCTAATCAGTGGCTTCACCACAGCTGCTGCCATTCATGTTGTGGTTTCCCAACTCAAATTTATTCTTCAGCTGACCGTCCCAGCACACACAGATCCATTTTCAATTTTCAAAGTAAGTATTCCTTGTGCTTAAAAAATATTGGAATACGTGAAATTCACTATCATGTTTCTGAGAGAAATATTCACATTAAGAAAAAGTTAGTGGCAGAGAGAGCAACACTGAAAATCAACCACATCTACCATATAGCTAATGTACACTGCAGAAACTAAGTACCACTTTTAGATTCAACTCTTAAGTATTGCTAAAAAGAAAAAAAATCTAAGTACATTATTAGAAGCTTTAATATTTTGTCCCAAGTTTTTAAAATTTTCTCAAAATCCTATTTTGAAAGAAATGTGCTCATTGAGTGATAATGCTTCCCTACTTCTAAGAAGCAGGTCCTGTTCTTTTAGAATTGAAGTTCTTCTGACTCTTTTATGCATCCCTGTTTATAAAGCAAAAGGAAATTGGCCAATATGTAAATAAGACACTAGTTTTTCCCTCCTCCAAAGGATATACTCTAGAACAGACAGTGTTCTTAGCACTTCTGATTTTATTTATTTGAGTCCTCTCTCTTTTTATCTTGGTGAATCCAACTAAAGGTCTATTTTGTTTATCTTTTCAAAGAAAACCAGCTCTTAGTTTTATTGATCTTTTCTATTGTCTTTTTAGTTTCTATTTCATTTATTTCCACTCCGATTTTTGTTATTTCCTTCCTTTTACTAACTTTGGGATTATTAGTGCTTCTATCAAGACATCTTTGGGAGCCTGAGGCAGAACTTGCTCCAAATTGGAATCAACACTCTCTCACTCCTATCCAGAGCTATTCCAGAAGTGAAGTGTTCTAGGAGCAATTTGGGATCTAGTTTGGGCCTGCTTGAGCTGTCTGGATCCCATGGATATGGGATCCAACTGGCTTTGAGGATTAAGATTATGCACAGTGCACGGTTAGCCAGGAAACTAATTTCCAAAAGTGACACAGAGAGTAAACTAAGAAATGTGAAGGATCTTAACCTAAAAAGGCCAAGAATTAAGGGGACACAGGCTAAGAAAAACTATCAGGTATCAGAAGTTATTCCCTGCACAGAGCAATAGTGATGATTGTGAAATAAAAAACGATGGCCAAAGAGACCTAAGAACAGAAGAGACTGGTTGTAAAAACGTGAAAAGTATCCAAGAAAATTTGACACTAGCCAAAGAGATTCCCAGCAAAAATGCCAGAAGCGTCCCTAAACCATCCCTATGCTGAACTTACCCTTCTCATATCTCCATGCTAGTTTCTACAGTTATTCATTCATGGTTAACATGAGCAGAACAGAGAATCATTATCAATCTATGTCAGTCCTTTTGCTTCAACATTTATTTTTATCTATTTGGAAATAATTAAGTGTGGTATCTAAATCATACATTAATATAGCACTTGGGTGTTTTTTGTTTTTATAATTTTAGGTACTAGAATCCGTATTCACACAAATAGGGAAGACTAATATTGCAGACCTTGTGACATCCTTGATTATCCTCGTCGTTGTATCTGTGTTTAAAGAAATAAATCAACGCTACAAAGCCAAACTTCCAGTGCCCATCCCAATTGAATTCATCATGGTAACTGATTAAGACTTCCTTTCATAATTCAGTCATCTCATGTTTTTATGTCAAAAGCCCTTCACCATCTGTAGATCAGGAGGCTTTAGTGGGGCAGATGCCATCTCTGCAGTTCCTGGGTATAATATTTAGTATGGTTTTCTCCTCATTCAGAATTTAATAAATTCCTTTTCTGATTTGGGGTTGATTTTTTCCATGTAAGACAAGGATGGTGCGGAGAGCAAGACCTCTGAGAAGTCAATAGAATTAGAGTTGTGGTTCTCAACTGTGGCACATTAGAAATGCCTCAGGACTTTTGTTGTTGTTTTTTTAATCTACTAGGTCGAGGGGTGGTTTTTGGCACTGGTATTTTTTTTTAAAGCAAGACTCTTAGTTATATCTATCTCACATTTCTAACTTGGGCAATTTGCAACTTTGCAGACTGTGATCGCGGCAGGTGTATCCTATGGCTTTGACTTCAAAAACAGGTTTAATGTGGCTGTGATTGGGGAGATGAAAAGTGGGTAAGTGTGTCTTTTCTGATGGCATCTCCAAGCTCTAATTAGAGAGTAAGTGGTAGTTACGGGAGACCACAAGCTGAAAGGCATTCATCCAGGTCAGAATTCTCCCTGCATCTAGCATCCCTGAGGAAAGCTCGCTACTCTCTTTCTAGGAAGGAGCCACCAAGACATAAGGGTCTGCAGTTCTTAATATCAGAAAGTTTCTCTTTGTGGAAGAACTCACAAACCAGAGGAGCAGGGACTCAAGAGACGCAAGTAAAAGTGAAATCGTGAAAATGGAAAAATAGGCAAATGAAACCTGCTTCTCCTCATAAAAGAGTACCAAATGAAACCAGATTTCCTTGTCCATAAATTACTATAAACAACATGTAGAGTCTTGTTTGTGGTTACTGGAGCCAAGTTCTGACAGTTCAAAAGAGACGCTGAAGGAATACCTGTGGCACACTACCTGAGCAACCCAGACAGGCACACTCTGTCCTTTCTCGTGATCAAATTCAAAACAAGGCCAGAGCAACTCCTACTGCTGTGAAAGGATGGGAGGTCCAGTTCATATGAGGAATTTGAAAATGTATTCCATTGCATTTATTGGATTGAGAAGGGAGATCAGTTTTGTGCTCTCTTTCCTATCTCTGCCCACTGACCATAGTATCGATTTCTTCCAACTTGCTTATCAAGAAAAGGTTGTGTGCCTGTTGAAAAAAAAAAAGACCGACCTCCCTCCCCATGCTCAAGGAGTGTTTGAGAATTCCAGGAATTAGCATTTATATGCATTGTTAACTTAAAAATAGCCAAATTCTTTTGAAATCAAATGTATATATATATTTAAAGCAAAAAAAATATTTTTATTGCTAGATATTCATGTGCTACACTTACTGAATCTCAAACATCACTCTTAGTTGAAAAGGTTTTTAAGTGGGAATTAGGCTAAAGCTGAAAGATTATTTCTAGAGTATCTCTCCACTCTGCAACTTTCAAGCGATTATCTTTTATTTAAACGTCTTGGGAGACATAAACCAGATAGATAGATGATAGATAGATAGATAGATAGATAGATAGAGATGCAAACAAAATTAAAGCAGATCTTGTCAGAAAGGGTTTTGGAGATAAAAGATAAACTTAAGATCACTGAGTCACCATCTTAGAGACTTTACTTAGTAAATATATATATATATTTTTTAATTTTATTTATTTATTTTTCCCCCAAAGCCCCAGTAGATAGTTGTATGTCATAGCTGCACATCTTTCTAGTTGCTGTACGTGGGACACGGCCTCAGCATGGCCGCAGAAGTGGTGCGTCGGTGCGCGCCCGGGATCCGAACCCGGGCCGCCAGTAGCGGAGCACACGCACTTAACCACTAAGCCACGGGGCCAGCCCAGTAAACATATTTTAAATGTCCACGGACCCCGCTCCACAGTGTGTGTGGGCTGGGGGAAGGAGTTAACTGACATTTATTAATCATTACACTCTACAGAGAAACAGTGTAGCCTAGTAGGTAAGCTCATGTGTTCTAGAAGCAGAGTGTCTGGGATTTACTTCTGACTAACTTCTTGAGCTGGGCAAATAACTAAACTCTGTGCCTCGATGTCCTTGGCTGTAAAAATGGGGCTAAGAACAGTAGCTATCACATGGGATTCTGGTAAGGATTGAGTTAATACGTGTAACGTGTTTACGTGCCTGGCCTACAGTTGGCCATTACTACAGCATTACTACTGTTAATAATTTAGCAACTTAATTAGCGACTAGGCACTTTACATGCCTTTTACCCTCCAGTTTTTTCTGGGTGATGATGGAGTGGGCACTTTAAATTTCTGATAATTGCAAATAGAATGTAACTGGAAAATAATGATTATTAATTCTTGTTAATCTGCTGTTAATGAGTATAACACCTTAGAAGTGATTTAGTGAAGTCATACCTGAATGCAAATAACTTGGCTGAAGGAAAGTGATCATTGAAACAGTCAAGGAAACACAAAGGATATATTCAGATTCCAGAGAGATCCTATAAAAATAGCTAACAGGCACTTTGTACTTTGCAATGTGTAACTAGTATTCACATTCATTATTTTATTGGACCCTCCCACAAAAACTAGGAAGAAAAGAGAACAAGTGTTATTATCCTCACTTAACAAGTGAGAAACTGGCTCAGAGAGGGTAAGTAGCAGAGCCAGGAAATGAATCTGAGTTTTTAGACCATAAACGTCCATCGCGTCATCCACGGTGTTTAGAGTCTAGAACAAAAGAATAAATAGCCAGCTTCTGGTTATTTTGGTATAAAATGCAAATTTTAATTGTATCATCAATTTTGGATTTATTTTTTTAAAAAAACGATATTCCAAGCTAACTTTCTGATTCATGGTAGCTGCAGAATATGAGATAATAGTACTTCTTCAAAATTATAGCTGAAAATTTATTAACACAGATATTCACAAAACATGAACAGTAGTTAAGAGTTGAATGGATCCAATTAACCCACTTCAATAAATTTTAAGTCAGAAATAGATGTCTACAGGAGCTGAGCATTTTAGTAAATTGATGTTCAGTTTGAGATACTTGTACCTTTTATAATACAATTAGTAAATATCACTTAACTGCTCTAAGTTCATGAGGTATAAGCACAGAAGGATCCTCTGTGGGTTGAAAGTTTGCCTGACACTGTATCGCTTTAAATGCAAACCCACTCTCCATCAGGGCCACAGGTGACTCTAGCAGTTCTGTGGAGCACAGGGCAGAGTCCAAGGCCCCTCTGTTTGCTAAGGGTTTTCCATGAAAGGTTATTGTTATCAATGGAGGGAAGACTTTCTTGCTTTCCTTGGCTCAGAATTGTGTTTGCTCAAAGAGCCTTCATCCATGGATAAGTATTGGAGGCATTGTGGGTGATGCTTTGCAACCCAATGTAACAATACAAGTGGGATCTAAGACATGTTGCATGAAGCTTATGCGGATATAAGTGTACATTATAATGTGGTTATGCTAGCAAAACCCTATCAGATGTACCACTATCATTGAGCTGTATGGACAATCTTGTATCAAATTCAGGCAGCGTTGCTTTTCAACAATAGGATAACAGATTCCAAAGTACTCAGAAGTAGCAAAATTCTTGCTAATTATACTCCAAAGTGAGGCACAACTCGGCCTAGATTACATTCATTCATTGATTTGCCCAACAATTATTGACCACCTGAAGAGTGTTTGGTCCTAGTCACAGAATAGTGAACCAGTCATAGTCTCTGCTCTGTGTCTGGGAGGAGAGTTGCGGGGGTACTAGGGGGAAGGGAAGTATCAAGAGCTGGGGAAACATGGAGAATCTCACCTAACCCTGATCTTGGTGGTGAGGGGAGACTCTCTGGAAGAAAGGATGAGGATGAGGGAAATGAGTGGTTCAGGCAGAGGGAAGAGCAAATTAGAAGCTTCCAAGGTGAGAGAACAGGTGACATCTTTGAGAAACAAACAAAAAAAAGCTTGGTGTAGCTGGAGCATAAATTCTGGGAAATGGTAGTGATTAAGCAGGAGACCAGGAGAGGGGGTAGATTGGGGCCTTGCTAAGGAATTTGGACTTTTCCTGAGAGCAAATGGATGCCATTGAAGGTTTATGAGCTGGTTGGTGATATTGAGACTTGCTTAATTTCAATTTCAGGTTTCAGCCCCCTATCACACCTGACCCGTGGATTTTCCAAGAAACCATCGGAGACAGCTTTGGCATTGCCATTGTTGGCTTTGCGGTGGCCTTTTCAGTCGCCAGTGTCTATTCCGTCAAACACGATTATCTGATTAGTGGCAATCAGGTAAGTTTACAACCTACGCTGGGTCTAATAGGCAACTTAAAGTCATATTTTGTGTACATAATATCAGTGGTGCCACTTCTAAAAAAGACTGCTCCTTGTTCTCTTGCCAGGAGTTAATAGCCTTGGGATTGGCTAACATATTCAGTGGATCATTCAGAGGATTTGCCTCGAGTACCGCCCTCTCCAGATCGGCGGTTCAGGAGAGTACTGGAGGCAAAACGCAGGTATTTCAGGATCTTTGCTGCAAAGGCCATCCTGGCATTAGTAACCGGGCAAACCGGGCCAGGGGGAAAGTTGACTTTGTGATGAGAATATTTTCATCTTCACAGGTTGCTGGGCTTCTCTCTGCTGTCATTATACTGATTGTGATTGTAGCCATTGGATTTCTGCTGGAGCCACTACAAAAGGTAACACTCCTCTCTCTTTGGATACTCTCTCTCTCTCCTTCAGGTGATGAATCAAGGGCTCTGGTTCTTAAACTCTAGAAGTGCAAACCAAAGTAGGGAAAAATGAGGGAGCTACAAACTCTCAAGTATTCTTCTTAGCCAAGACTCTATGGGCCAAAAATATTTATTTTTCCCCAGCAGCATTTTATGAATGTGAAGAATGCAGATGCCCGAACTACCTTATCTACTACTCTTCTCATGTTCGTAGCCCTGAATATAATTAATGTTTAGACAGAAAGGCACCCTGGCTCTGTAGCTTCAATGCGGATTGACTGAAGGGAAGCTTTTCTAAGAGGTTGAGGTAATCAGGGCCTCTATCTAATTCAGAGCGTGGTGCTACCAGTCACACAGCCTGTGCTTGGGAATACGCCCTGCAGCTCCCAGAGTTGGTTTGACTCCAAGATCAGAGCTATCAGATTGCAGGATGGGAGCAAACAGCCAGACCAGACCCTCACACCTTCACCCTCGTGCTCCTCTGTCCATCTCCCCTGAACTGTAATTTTTGAGGGTTTAGGGTAATGCTTTGTAAACTGCTGCAGCACCCAGATTTAAAAAAATAACAGCGGGTCCTGGAAAACAAGATTTCTACGAAACCAGATGATAGTAAATACATTGTCTTTTGTGATGTTAATGTGATTTTGAGGTAGTTCATGGAGCGCTGGCTCAAGAGTCCTATAGACCTACTTCTAATCCTGGCTCTGCCACTTATTATCTGTTTGCTTTAGGGCAAATTACTCTCTGAACCTCAAGTTCCCCATTTGTAAAATAGGGAGGGAAATAGTGCTCACCTCATGGAGTTGCTGTGAAAATTAAATGAAATGAGGCACGTGATGCACTTAGCCTAGGGCATGGCACATGATACACACTTAATAAATGATAGCTATCATTGTTCATATTATTGTTTTTTATATCATTATTATTATTCTACAAACATTCTATTACACTTCTGACTGAAAAGGACATAGAGATATGACACGGCACGCCAATGTTTATTAATTGATATCTAGGCCTTTTTCCTTGTTGGTTGGTAGCTGGAATGTGAATTTGGGCCCAGGTTTCTGGACTCTCAGTTTGGTCATCCCAAAGTGCCTCACTGGCTGAATGTGTCTTCAAGCAGAGTATTGTTTGCCAAAAATATGCATTCTCCACACACCAACCTACTGATTCCCAAAGAAATGGCACCAAAGAAGTCAAGAAGTCACCACCAAAGAAATAGAAGAATGGATATCTCAATACAAGTAAATGCACACATGACCCCCTACAAAGAGAATTCTGCCCTATTGTGCTTCTTCCCAGATGTATACGTGGACTCTCCCTCACCCACGTCAACTAAAGAAACTAAACAAACAATTGTCGTTTAAAATCCTGTCTCTCTCATGTATAAACCACATCCAGTGACATTGACCCGGATGTTAATCAAAGCCCCGGCTAGAGGATCCCTGTGACAAGTTCTTAGACCATTGTGTATGTAATGTCTGTTTGACCATAAGAGCTGGTTTGCTTTTACCATATGAGGGCAAAATAACCCATAATAATAGCTAATAATGAATGCTTCTTGAGTGCTGACTAAGCATCAGCCAAGTGCTAAGCATTTCATGTGTATTTAATCCTTCACGTCAATTGCAGTATGGATACCTGGTTCCTGGTAAAATTATCCCCCTTTTCCTTTCTATGGCTGCTCAGTGCTCTGTAATCTTTATTTTTTAAAGGGTTCTATTGCGTATGTATTTCAACGTAAATTTTTAAAAATTGTTTTTCCATGGAATACCATCCAGGTGAGAAATAATGCCTAATGAAAAGAAAAATGATAGTTTCTTCTGCAGGTGGCACTTGACATGTTTTTACCAGAGTTCCCCAAAGGACGGGGCTTTTTGTACAGAGTCCTATGGACCCCTTGCCCAGCTACCACAATGGTGACATCTTATACAGCAATAGTCTGTTATCAAAACCAGTACACTGACACTGGTACAGTGCTGTTAACTAGAGTACAGACTTTATGCAGTTTTCACCATTTTTTTAAATTAATTAAATTTTTTTTTTTTTTTTTTTTTTTTGCTAAGGAAGGTTCACCCTGAGCTAACCTCTGCTGCCAGACTTCCTCTTTTTGTATGTGAGCCACTTTCACAGCATGGCCACTGACAGACCAGTTGTCTGGGTCTGCGCCCAGGAACCGAACCCAAGCCACAGAAGCAGAGCACACCGAACTTAACCATTAGGCCCCTGGGGCTGGCCCCAGTTTTCACCATTTTTTAACTGGTGTACATTTCTGTGCAATTTCCTTTTGAAAGTCACTTAAGACCATATTTAGTCTTCTAAACAATGACCTCTATCCTCACAGTGAGTAAAATTAACTGATTAGATATTAAATTATAAATGTTACTTGTGAAAATCAAAAATGCCCAGATCAGTTAAATTATCTTTAACATATGGATATGAAAACTGTGTTTGGTTTTCTTTGTACACTGTGCTTTTATGGTATGAAAGTAGTCAGTATACAAATTCCATAGTCCATTCAGAATGGAACAGCTTGAATTGGGGTGAGGGTTGGGGACATATTCCTACTATTGTGTTAAAATTCAAACAAGGAAGAGAGCATATTTGGCTAGTCAGCATTTTTCACTGTAACTATCATAATTCCTACAAGACAAGTTATCTCATTTTTGGCGTGTGAAGAAACACAAGCCTAAAGTGTTGCTGTGGCAGAGCTGGGTTTACCACTCAGGCCCCTCTTAGTGAATCTGCTCTTCAGGGGTATCAACATCAGATCTTCTTAAAAGAGGCTGTGTTACTGGGTGCTTAGTACTGTCGGGAAATAGTGATTCATTAGCTCATCCACTCATTCACTGAATAGTTAAGCCCATCCTATATACTTTTACCATGGTAGGTTCTAGGATATTGCAGGGAACAAGACAGACATGGTTCATGCTGACCCAGAGAGTCTGCCTCAAATCTTTGTTATCCTCTCTGTGATCTTCAGCTTCTGATTTCAGGACCCCAAGCTCCCAGCCTTTTTTTTTTTTACAAAGAGCAACCCCCCTCTTCCCACTTCCAATAAATAAATACACATTAGACTATCTCTAATTGGGAAGAATTTATTTCAGTCATAGGTCTTAAAATCTGCCTTTCTCTGTCCCAAGGTACAGGATAGTAAGTATTATCAGATCATCTATGACATGTCACTGTGACTGTGGTGGGGACAAAGTCATGCATGGGGACAGGTCAGAGTCCCGGATCTGGTCTTACATAGCGTTGCACACAGGAAAAGGGTGTATCCTTTGATATGCTTTGAGGCCCCTTAAAAGACTCACTTATCTAAACCATCACCTTTGCTTCTATATGGTTTACTTGATTATCTTCAAGTACATCTGCTGTTTATGTCTTTTACAGTCTGTCCTGGCAGCCTTAGCACTTGGAAACTTAAAGGGAATGCTGATGCAGTTTGCTGAAATAGGAAGACTGTGGCGAAAGGATAAGTACGATTGTGTAAGTAGATGCAATGGTATTTGAAAGAGAGATAAAGCAGGATGGCATTTTAATGCCGATGTAAAAAAAAATGCATATTTATATTGTAAACTAAATGAAATTTTGTTTTTATATATCAGTTCAAATAACCTTAGTTTGTTTTATTTGCTGTTTTTAAACTGCATACTCTAATGATCATTCTCTGGGATTTTAACTTAAAAAGATGAGCTACTTGCAAGCAGGAAATCCTCCATGAAACACTAGTAGGGAACTTGCTGAGATCTGTTCAAAAAATTCTTGCAGTCATCCAGAATGCCACAGAAACTCTCTGAATTTTAGAGTATGCGTTGCTTCTGTTCTTTATTACATCGTATATTAGTTTCCAGAGACTCAGTGAGGAACTTAAATTCTGAACACTCCTTTCAGAAATACTCTAGCAAGGCTCAACATGCCTTGCGATGAGAAGCAAAGTCCATAATTGTATCAGGGTCAAAGTCTGTGGCATAAAAATACTTGTTAACACAGCCTATGGTACTTAACAAGCATGAAGTAGTAAGCTACACTTTGTTTATTTTTGTTCCTGATAGAACATTGTTGGGGATTTTAACACCCTATTGGCATGCTAAAATTCTTGTCAAGATAGTAGCCATTAATTAAATCAACAGACCAAAAGTAAGAGGTTAGTATAGGTTCTACCAATTAATTTGTTGATTTTAACAAACAGCAGCTGGTTCTGGAATTTTAGCTGTGACAAATAATCATTTCCTTAACTGGTTCAGGGATGGGATTAGAAATGGGTACACCCTTTATGGGTTTTTTTGTATTTGCTTGTGTTTCTGCGTCTCAGAACCTGAGGCAACAGAAATGACTCCTCAAGGCAGGTCCCTTCTCCTGTACACATCCAACCTCTGCTGTTGGCCCTAGAAGTTCATGCTTTCTCATAGCTCTGGAACTAAGATGTTGTGCTTCAATCAGAGTGTATTGTAGTGTATGTGTTGCCTTCTTTTTACAGCTAATTTGGGTCATGACCTTCATCTTCGCCATTGTCCTGGGACTCGGGTTAGGCCTGGCAGCCAGCGTAGCGTTCCAGCTCCTGACCATTGTGTTCAGAACCCAATTGTGAGTGCTTCTCATGCTCTGCATCTTTGCAGACTTTCACCTGCCCATGTTGGAAGAGAAAAACTACTTTTAAGGGAGAGTAGTTGGTTGGTAGGCATGCAAATCTGTTAAGATTGGCCAGTCTGTTCTTCCTCAGGTTGCTCACCCCGAGACCAGAAGGGCAAGAGAATGGCCCGACCCAAGAGCACGAGCCCAGGTCCCACCAGCTCTTGGTCTGCTTCCTGCTTTGACACCATTTCAAAGAAATCATAAAAATCTGAGTCTGTTTGCCCAGCTGTAAACTGGAAGTGATTCTACTCTGAGCAGGTTTAATGTCTTTGCCTTAGACTCGTTAAACACGGGGATGTGTTATGGAGAAGGTCATGCGATTCTCCATGTCTGCTGGAGTTGTTCCTCTTTATAGGCTGTTAGATTGTACTCCCACCTGAAAAACGTGGAGCTGGATTAGAGAATTTCTCAAAAGGCCCCTCTCATCCTAAAATTCCACAGAAGCTACTTAGAATTCTTGATTCTTAAGTCATACAGTCCGAACATCTTTTTGATTCTTAAATCTCTGCCGTATAATGTCATCCACATGTGACCACTCACCCTGTGTTAGATTACATGATGTGACAGAGAAATAAGGCTTCATGAGAGCTAAAGAGTTCTAGAACAGAAGTCGTTATCATAGTTAAAGTTAATCCTTGACTGACCAGATACATTTATATTGAAATGTTCCCACCCTCTTTTATTCATTTATACTTTCATTAATTTCTTGGAGACCCATCAAACATAGAGACAAACTGAGTGGCCATAAGTAAATCATTATACTTCTCCATGTCCTCATCTATACAACTGGGTAATCATATCTGCCTTATTTCGCCAAATAACTGTGATAATCAGAATCAAAACAGCAAAGGCGTATGGAAGCGCTTTGTAAACTGGAATGTGGTAGATGGGAGGCACTGTTCTAGGAGCTGTGGGAGGATGAGCAAAACAAAGTGTTTGCTCTCCAGGGTCTCTGAGGGCGTGATGATTCCTCAATCTTATAAATTTTGAAAAGTGAGCCTGCTTTGGTATACTAGGAAAAAGTCAATATCAGCCTTACAGGCCTAACAAATATGAATGAATGATTCACCTGTGTTGATTTCTCTCCAGTCCAAAATGTAGCACACTGGCTAATGTTGGAAGGAGCAACATCTATAAGAATAGAAAAGATTACTCTGACGTAAGGAAGATTCATTTTTTGACTTTGACTTGTCAAATTATATTAATGTGAATCTAATGGGCACCATCTAATATTACTTCTCTGCCTTACAGATGTATGAACCGGAAGGAGTAAAAATTTTCAGATGTCCATCTCCTATCTACTTTGCAAACACCTTTTTCTTTAGACAGAAACTTATCGATGCTGTAAGGTTTGGGGTTATTAATTTTTTTGGTAATTCCACTGATATCAAGGGATGAAATGTTTGCTCTGTAACAAGGATGTGAAGAGGGGTATTGATTTCGCATATGTTGAGGCTGTATTTTCTGAGTGTTTTTGTGTCCCATGTCCCAGAGCAGGTGAAACTACTTTGTAAGGGGTCCGTTAATATATTGGGAACTAAGACTCCTGGGATGAGGTCCAATATGAAGTCAGCTTTTATCAAATTCTTCTGTAGAGTAAAAAGATTTACTGCAAGATTTTGGGCTGCTGATTTTTAATAGATAGTATCCTACAGATTTTCATTGGGCATCACCTTCAGAAACAACAGGAGAATGAGGTTTTTTTTGGTGAGGAAGATTGGCCCTGAGCTAACATCTATTGCCAATCTTCCTCGTTTTGCTTGAGGAAGATGGTCCCTGAGCTAACATCAGTGCAAATCTTCCTCTACTTTGTATATGGGACGCAGCCACAGCATGGCTTGATGAGCAGTGTGTAGGTCCACGCCCAGGATCCAAACCCGTGAACCCCAGGCCGCCAAAGTGGAGCACGTGAACTTAACCATAACAAGAGAGTATTTAATATTTAACTGCATCATTAAAGAGACTCAGGATAGCAAATGAATATTCATAATATAAATGATAATGAATAAATATAACATAAATGAATATTTAACACTAAATAATAACTGAGTATCCCTGGTAGACTGGAGAGAAGAGGACAAAGAAGCAATCTTTAAGGTTAAGAAACAAAATCTCAGGACTTACTCATGAACATGCCTTTTGGTCTACTCTGTACCTTGCAGAGAGCTTCTGCCTTAAGCCCAACTATTATTATTAATTTGGTATGCATCAAATATTTTTCTACCCAATTATTATTTTTTTTTTTACAAAAATGGGATCAGATTGTATATATGGCTTTATATACTGTCCTTTTCCCTTAATCTAGTATCTTTCCATCTAACTACATTTTTTTGTCAAAGATTTTTAATTACCTAATTTGATCCTCCTTACTTATTACTCTGGAGCTAAATATTGCCACAATAAGAATACATTTGTTTTGAAAGGGGGAAAATGAAGGTTACCCTCAGATCTAATACTAGAATTATAAAATAAAATCATATAATAATAGATATTATAAAATATAATCATATAAAGTTTAATAGAAAAATAATTATATAGAAGCAGAATACTAATTCAATGCCACCATATTCAACAACTAGAAAATAAATAAATCCCCTAAGAGTCATGTAGGCCAAAACACAAATAGATTCAAATAGAGTTTAGACTCATTCATGGATGATTTATGGGTAAGTCCTGGATGGTACGAAGGTTTTTGAATGTTGATAACTGCACACAGCTGAGCAGACCATAGGTCTGACACAGTGTTGTCAGCGATGTTGTTTGAACCACCTTTAAATTTTATTACAAATATCTTTATTATTTATTTATTTATTACAAATATATTTATTATATTATCAACCCATCCTACTTAAAGTGATTAGAATTATGCTATGGAAATAGCAGCATATTCAGTACTTCTAATATAGCGACGGGTTTTTCAGGTTGGCTTTAATCCACTACGAATTCTACGCAAGCGCAACAAAGCTTTAAAGAAAATCCAAAAAATGCACAAGAAAGGCCTGATACAAGTGACACCAGTAAGTTGCTTTTTCTGTGAGGGAAAAAATATTTTTTTATATTTAACAAAAGGTGGACTATAATTTCACCTGTGCATTGATTCCCAGAACCAAAAAAGTTTTAACCCAGTGTTGACTGGATATATGTCTGACAATTTGTCGGTCAAACTTATAGCATTTTGGCTAAATCTTCTAGGCCTCCTTAATTTTCCTAAGGACCCCTTTAGTCCCCGGAGACTCAGATCATTCTCTTTGGAATGAAACCAGTAAGTTTCTTGACCACGTTTCTGTGTATTATAGCTAAAAGCTTTGTAAAATGTAGTTCAAGGTGTTGATTCCATTCCTTTAAACGAAATGCCAGATAAATAAGGTATTTCATGTGTCAATTCATGTCATATTTTTAAATGGCATCTTTGAGGGTCTCCTTAAAATTTTTATTCTCCTGGGAAAGTTTTTATTCTCCAAAGAAAAGAGTTTAAAATCCCATTGCTTGACCCAACTTTGACTCTGTGCTTCAGAAACTCACTGGTTATCCTTGACATACAATGTTTTTCTTGGTCAGAGTTATCATGCATATTATTATCCTCTCTTGCAGAAAGGATTTATATGTACCGTTGATGACTTTAAAGATTCTGATGAAGAGCTAGACAACCGTGCAATAGAAGAACTGGATCAGCCAATCAGTACCACAGACCTTCCCTTCCAGATAGACTGGAATGCTGATCTTCCTCTCAACATTGAGGTCCCTAAAATCAGCCTGCATAGCGTTATTCTTGACTTTTCGGCAGTGTCATTTCTTGATGTTTCTTCAATGAGGGTTCTCAAAAAGGTAATTACTTAATGGAAACAACCAATCAGTGACTAAAGGTAAAAAACTGTAATTGTGGAAGGATGCTCCTTTAGATAACACACACCTGGGTAAAAGTAAATTATAATCTTAGAATATTCTATGGAGAGAGTGAGAGTGTGGGTGGCACGTGTTTAGTGAACTCTTTAAAAGTTCATTTCCCATGAGACTGCATATAATTTTGAAGGCAACCAAACCTACATTTCTAATGTATGCTGACCCTGTTGGTAGAAAACCATGCTCACCTTCCGATCAAATTCCAGTTCTGTGGTACCTTCAAATCTTTATGGGCATTGTATCTAAATTGTCCTAAAATAGAGAAGATTTGGAAAGGTCTTGGGAAAAAGTGGAAGAGTGGGTCCTTTTGTTTTTATCTTCATCTATTATAACCTGATGAAATTGCACTTGGCTATTTAACAGTCTGTTTCAAAAAAAAAAAGTAGATATACGAAAGAAGAAATGTCACATATGATTTAAAAACAGGACTGAAACAATCGGCTTGCAGTCTGTTTTCTTTCCAAAGTTTTTTTTTATTTTTTCTAAAATAAATTAGTTTCTAAGAGAATTGCAGAAACAGATGTAAAGAAAATTTAAGAAATTCCACATCTTCCCCTCTTTTGCTTGGTTTTTCACAGAAATCTGCTTACAAAGCACTGAGCTATGATAAGATCCATTAAGCATGGGTGAACTAGATACAAAATTGGAAAATAGGATCAATTTCATTTCCTTCAAACTTATCTTTTTTTTTTTAAAGATTTTATTTATTTTTCCCCCCAAAGCCCCAGTAGATAGTTGTATGTCATAGTTGCACATCCTTCTAGTTGCTGTATGTGGGATGCGGCCTCAGCATGGCCGGAGAAGCAGTGCATCGGTGTGCGCCCAGGATCCGAACCTGGGCCGCCAGCAGCGGAGCGCGCACTCAACCGCTAAGCCACAGGGCCGGCCCTCCTTCAAACTTATCTTTAAAAAATCTTAACCTCACGTAACTCTCAAGACTGCTTGCTTTTTCTTTTCTTTGTTTTTGTGTTTGTTTGTTAGTTGGTTATAGTTTTGGAGAAAAAAATATACACACACATAAAATTTATTTGTTGATCCTAGCAGTATAGCACAAAGCACAGGGACTCTGCCTTATGTTTCTTTAAAGCCCTAATTCTTAGTTCAGTGCCTAGTAGAGGTTCTAAAAGTATTTATTGATGATAATAATGATATTAATGATCATCTAAATTGATCCACAGTGCAAGCTGCTTTTCTTACCTTATATGACCTTACTCATATCACTACTGGTATTTGTTCCTAGCCTAGAGACCAAGAAAATGGCTAAAGATTTGTTGGTGCTACGTACATCCAGTCACTGTAGACAAGAAAGATGAACAACTTATAGGTCATGGGGTTCTTTTATTTTTATGTAGCTAGAAAGCTCTAGTCAAGATCATCCCATAGAAGAAACTTTTAAAAATAAATCAGAGTTCATCTTGTGAGTTGAGGCAGAACATTTGCCCATTATCCTTCCCTCAAGAGTGATCGTTTTTAACTTATAACTGAAGAGGAGAGTTCTATCCTTTGGATTTATTTCTTTCTGTCACAGAGCCTTGCTTTTAACTTTAGCGTCTCTTTACACTATTATCTCTTTTCAAAATGCAAAACGTTCTGAAGGCAATATATCACTCATAAGGCATAACTTATGATAGTTTTCTTTACATTTCTGACAAATGAAACTGTTCTCTAAGGAAGATCTACTTTCTTTTTAACAGATTTTTCAAGAATTTGTCAGGATCAAGGTAGACGTGTATATTGTTGGAACTGATGGTAAGTTGTTTTATTTTCCTGTTCTAAATATTTCAGGCTCTTTGCCAACTCTCAATCTACACAGGTTTTCCAAAGAACAGGTATTTTTTTTGATCACCAAGAAGAAAATCTAATTTATAGCCAAGCCGATAGAAATTCCTATGGAAATAGCGTCTTTATATTTTAGTTGTGTCTATTTATAATTAAATTAACTTTATAATTTGAAACCAAGTTTAATAGGCAGCAAAAGAGTGGATATATAACCATTTTTTTACTCTAATCTTCTTGAAAAAGTAGGCTTGTTTTCTCTCTTTCTCATCTCCCTGTATTCTTCAGCCCATAACAACCTGGTTTCTGCTTCACCTCGCTGAGGAGGCTGCCTTTGCCAAGATCATTAGTGATGTCCAGATTGTCAAGACCAACTGCCTCCATCCCAGCCTCATTCTTATGGAGTTCACTTTAGCATTTGGCCCTTTCTTTAGCATTTCTCTCTGAAACTCTCTTTCTCCTTGACTTCTGCAAGACTATTCTTCCGATTCGCCTCCCACTACGCTAACAGCTCCTTAGTGTCTGACATTGGCTCCTCACCCACTCCTTGACGGTCAATCTTCCCCAGGCGTCACCCCTATAGTTTTAATTCCATGGACTCTTTCTAGTCAATCTCCTACATGCTGATGGCTTCAAGTATATCTACATGTTAATGAATCCCCAAACTACACCTCCGGTCCAGACCTTTCCTCTGAGCTGCAGACCCATGTATCCAACTGTCTGAATGTCCCCCAGGCACCTCAGATACACATGTTCAAAACTAAATATATTACCCTCCCTCCCAAAACTACTACCCCTCCTTTCCTCTCAATCGCTACATCACCACTCACCCAGTTACCCAAAGTAGAATCTCCAGAGCCATCTTTAATTTCTCCTTCTCCCCTTTCCTCCACATTCAGTGAGTCGCCTGTAGATATTTCCTCTGGAATCAGTCTCTTCCTTTCCACTTCCAAAGCTTTAATCTAGACCCTTATCATTTCTCATCTAGGCTGCTGGGAAGAACTTTCTAACTAGTTTCCTTGTCCATCCCTAGAATGCTCTCCCATCCCATTTTCTGACTAGAAAATTCCTTCAAGAATTTATTCTTCAATAACTGTGAGAACTTCCTTCCTTCCCCAGACAGAGCACTGTGGTCTTCAGCCTGTTTGCATCTGTAGAATACACCCAGATGACGTTATTCTATAGTTCTGTGCTTGTGTTCCCCTAGGGGCAGGTATTGGTCTTGTTTACCTTCTTATTCCCTGTCTGTTACCTAATTCCCAGGACATGACAGACATTCGGTAAAGACTTATTGGGTTCTGGGATACAGCCATGAATAAGACAAGCCCCTGCCCTCGTGAAGCTTATAGTCTAGTGGGAAAGCCAGATAATAAGCAAATAAAAACACATTTCAGGTAATGATAAGTGCTGTGAAGAAAAAAGGACAGTTAAGAGACAGAACAACAGGGATGGCACTATTTTAGACAGGCAATCAAGGATGTCAAATAATGTGACATTTCAGCAGAGACTAGAATGAAGTGAGGGAGTCAACCTGGTCAGTATCTCAGGGGAAAGCATTTTAGAGAGAGGGATGACAAGTGCATAGGTCCTGAGGGAGGCATGAAATTGGCATCTTTAATTTTCCCTCTCTACTGACTCCTATCCCTAAAATCTACAGATATATTCCAGTTTCAAGGCTTCCTTATAATTAAATATTCTCTTGATCTCAGTAACCCTTTAATTTAATAAACAATTTTACTCCTTCTCCATCATCCCAGATCTTTTTGAAAGTGTCTCTTCCTGCTGCCTCTGCTGCCTGGCATTCCTCTCAGTCCTTAACTAAGATCATCACCTTCCTTCCCATGGCACACCACCCACCTCCATCCTGGGTTCTGGTGACCTCTCTCTCTCTCTCAGTCACTGCTAGGTCTTGTCAATGTTAAAGGCTTGCCTGTGAACAGACTTTCCTACCTCCGTGGCTTCTCTTCTTCCATCTTTCTCCAAATCCTAGGCATTCTTTTAAATGGTCAAGTTTTCCCAGATACCCACCAAGAGGAAACAATCTTTACCCTACTTTCTCTGAATTTTCATAGCACATGATCTGTGCCTCTCTTATTCATTCCACAAAAATGTGAGGACCTACTATGTGCTGGGCATTATTTTAAGAATAAAGAAAACATTAAAGAAAAAAATCAGATTGCTTCCTGCCTTTGTTATTCTACAATACTTTTCCTTTCGTTACCACAGGTATATATAAATGTTCTATCTTCCTTCAGGACAAGACTCGGGTCTAATTTATCCTTTGATCCATTATATTACCCAGCTAGGGCTTTCCACATAGTAGATATGAGGTAATATTTGGTTGAGTATTCTGTGCAAACAAGTACTGGTTAGCACCTACAAGAACGGGATTCCTCAAAGATGACCAGAGGTAATATGGGGTGCTAAGGAAGGTGTTTTCTGATGGAACCCAGCAGCTTTGCGAAAATGGACTATAGTAAGTAACTGGTACATAATAGGTCTGGCAATCCAGAACCACAGCATATCACTGGTCCATGAGCATATGTTCTGTTTTGGAGGAATCCTAATTTTTAATAATAAGCCACACTTGATGCTCCAATCACTAACTAGGGAGATTAACTCACGAGGATCCTGCCTAAAGGAAAGTGGTTGATTTTCTTCTAGGAACTACTAAAAGTTTTTCTCATTTAAACCTTTTCTTTCTTCCTTTTCACATGAGGGCATTAAATGTATATTTTTATTGGAAAGGTATCCTTTAGTTATAGAAGACACTGCACTAATGGTAAACGGGTACCATGCCTCTGCAACCCCCAAACACTTAACCAGATGTCAATGAAACGCACATTTGCAAATAGAGATTCAAATCCCCAGCTTCCTGTGGCCAAACAACTCCTTCTTCCTAACTGCTATTCTGTCTTTTCTCTCTTCAGATGACTTCATTGAGAAGCTTGCTCGGTGTGAATTTTTTGATGATGAAGTCACGGACTCAATGTTTTTCTTAACCATCCATGATGCTGTTTTGCATATTTTGATGAAGAAGGATTACAGTACTTCAAAGTTTAACTCCAGTCAGGTACCAACTCTTTGGTGACTTTCATATTTGTCTAACCAACCATCTGTGCTTCTTAAATTTCTCTTCATTTTTCAACATTAAAAGAAAAATTGTTCCTAATCCATAATTCCATTCTGGTTTTCTCAGGAAAAAGAAATAAAATCTGATTTTACCATAAATACAAATGGAGGATTACGTAATCGGGAATGTCAGGTAAGAGATTTTAACAGGTTTATCTTGATCTAGACACGACAACAAAATCTTCAAAGTATGAGGCCTCTTCCAGCACACTGCAGAAAGGCCAGGACTTGTTTGAGCCTCAGTGCGTCACCCCTAGAAAAATGAAGCAATGCCAATCTCATGAGGACTTTAGGGGAAAACAAACTCAGACCAGTACAAAAAAGGATGAAAAATAGTGATACTGTATCTCTAGTAAGGCAATATTGAGAAGAGAAGGAGAGAACTTTTTATGGTTTCAAAATACTTACAACCAAGATCTTATTCTGGTCTTGTAATAATCCATGAGGCAGGGAAAGTATTACTGTTTCCATTTACAGTTGAATTAGTAATGGAACTGAGAAGCTAAAACACACCTCCTGACTCCCATGTGCATGAGAAGTCCCTAGCACAGTGCCTAGCCCAGCAATGAAAGTGAAGTTCATTTCTTTCTTTACTAGAAAGAGTTGCCAAATTATCATTTAAATGGATAGTTCCATTTCATTCTAGAACATTCATTTCTAGACTATTCAGTCCTTTAAGGGAATGTCTCTAGTTTGGGAAAAGCAGAACCACAAATCAAAATGAGTACCTGCTGTAGGCCACATGCATTACATTCATCATCTCAGTCCTTACAACAATATGCAAAGAAGAAATCCTCGTTTCTCAAGTGAGGAGATTAGGAAGGGCTCAGAGAGCTTAACAAGCTTTGCTTAAGGTCACACACCAAAGTGACAGCAAAAGGATGTGAACCAAGATCTGTCTGATGCCAAGACCTGTGCTCTGTTCCCTATACTATACCAGCTCTATCCTTTGGTGAAAGATCAATGGAATTGAGGGTCTTGAGAAAGAACCTAATGATTGTCTTCAAGTATGGGAGGTATCTGGTGGTATTTCTCTAATCTGAAGAAAGGTCTAAAAAGAATAGCAAAAAGGAATTTAGATTAGAAATGAAGAAGAAATGCATAGCTTAAGATAACCCTGGACCATTATTAAGAGTTGTATCCAAATAGGAAAAGGTTAGATGAAAAAGCCATTCCAGAAAGTTGGAAAGATCTGAAGTGAGAGGAGAACCTAGAAGAACACCATGATTCTGTTTGCCAGGGCTGGATTCCCGAGAAACCAAATCTAGCACCTTGCCTGAGTCCCCTATAAGGAGAGCCTTACCAGAAATCCTCTGCCCAGTAGTTGAATTCAGAATTGTCACCAAGTTTGAGAGGATAAAGTAGAGGAACAAAATTTAAACCTGATGTCTGATCACAGCTTTAGAACCAACTGTCTAACAGAACATAGTCAGCACCATCCTGTACCCATTTCCCCATACTAAAAAGAAAAGAAAACATTTAACATCAGCTCCTTGCATTTCTTAGAGGAAGATAAATCAGCAGCTATGGATAGGCCACCAGTGGTGATTGATGTAAAAGCTGAATGTGCCTGGCCAGCACACATAGCCCTTTGGAGCTTATGTGGCCCCTGAAACAAACATAAGGAAACATATTGCTACAACACATTGTATTGTTATTTTGATTAAGTTAAATTAGGCCTTTGAAAGATACACTTATATTACAATATGGTATCACATGGGTCCATGTTAACCAAGTAGCAATAGAAGGTATTTGACCATTAAAATTCAAGACAAAAAATGTGTTGATGACTGGTAAATTCTACCTCCTAATTTTAATCAGATTGATCACATTTACTCTTTTTAAATACAAGATATGACTATTGAAAGAGATAGAACTTAACAAGTCTTAAAACAAGAACTTTCCGTCTTCTTCCAGGTACCACTTGAAACAAGATTCTAATCAAAATATAATTCAGAGGGATCCTCATCTGATTGTCACATAAAGAACAACTTAAAGAACAACCAGAAAGTTATTGATAAATTCATACATTGTATGAAGGATATTTTTGTTTGACAGAATTACGTTTCAAACTTTGGAACAAGATTGTTCTAGATTGGGATATTTTTCACATATTTAATATAAAATTGTGTAAATACTCTTAATTTTGTACCTTGTAGATTTATCAAAGGAAGAAAATTATTTTGTTTATATGTATTTTTATAGCACAGACAGATTTCCATCCAAGTCACTACCTTTGTGCATATGTTTTGCAGTGTATTTACACCACTGCTTTGAATCTCATAATTTATGCTGTTCATACTAATATATCTCCATGTTTAAAAATTCAGTTGTACAGTAGATATGTCTTGTTTTATTAAATTTCTTGTCAGCTTTCTGAAACATGCTTGCTGTGGGTCCCCTTTATAGCATTCTGACTAGAAACCTCCTACATGAGAATCTTCTAAACCTCCTGCAATGACACTTCTTTGCCCAGATTTTATGATTATCACTATAGCTTTTTAAAGTGTTGGGGCCCAGGACAGGCTGTCTCAAGAAGTTCCACAGTGGCATATTGACTATTTTGAGTTAAAGTTACTTAAAAAGCAAAAAGAGCTTTCTGACCCTCTTGTCTCTGTTCCCCCTGAAAGCAGGAAATAAATCTCCCATGTGAAAGGTGCTCTCTCTGCATCCTTATCACTAGAGCGAGGGGATTCAGGGCCAAGAAGCCTGCATAAACAACCCTTGCTAATTATGTACCCCAAACCTAAGTTTCTTTGTCCTGTCAATTCTTCACAAATTTATTGTTCACTCTTCGAGCATTATCTTTATGTTCTCCCACATGCACATAATTAAATTGGATTTTTCTGCTGTTAATCTGGTCTTGTGTCAATTTTACTATTAGTCCAGCCTCAAGAACACAAGAAGGGAAGAAGGGGGATTTTCCCTGCCCCGACAGTTTTGGCGTGCCAGCCAGGAGACCCACCGGCTAGAAAACTGCTTTCTCCCTGGGCTGCTACAGCTCAGAGATCCTGGGACATCTGACACATAACCGGCAAGAAGGTAAGCCTTCTTACCACGTCAGCCTCCCAGGTCTCTGTCTGCGCGCTCTGATGGGAATGAAAATGGTGAGAATCTTTTTCTCTCTTTCTAAATTTATATTGGCAGGAGAAAATATTTGTGAAACTGGTTTCTTGGATTTTAGCAACTTTGGCATTTGGTAAATGAGTACTCTTGGTTTTGTTGATCCTTTCCTCCCAGAGAAGGTCTTTGTTTTCTTTTGTCTCTGTCTGTTGTGTCGTTTGTCATGAGGAGGAAGAAGCAGAGGGCAGGACAGCAGGCCCTTGATGAGCCTGCTATTCGAGCCGGCCTCACCGACTGGGGAGTTTTGTGGTTCTCACCAGACCAGTGTCTATTTAGACTTTGCTGTGGGTCCCCTCTGCAAAAACCAGATGAGATTTTTCCTTCCATCTTGTTCTATGTCCTGAGAGCTTGGCTTTGTGACCAGTGAAAACATTTTCTCTGGTCTCCACCATCCGGAAGGTGCATTTACTGGGGTACACCTGGCGGCCAGTGGAAAGACTGGGGTTCTGAGACACACAGTCACAAGCAGCACTCTCTTTGTCCGGCTGTGCCAGCTCTCAGGGGAGTTTGTCATAAAGGGTCCAGTTCATAAGGGTTCTTGTCGTCTCAGCCTTCATTGCTTGTTGGTGCTAGAAAAATCCCATTCCAGTAGCACCTACCTGGTGTCACAGATTAGCGGGTCTGTGACTGGAGGCGTCCCACACTCCCATGGGAGACCAGAGACACCATTTTCACTACACCATCCTTACCACCTGTGCAATGCAAGTCTTTTCTTTCTAGACTATCTTTGGGAGTGAACTATAGGATCATGGGGGCTGCATCATCTACGCCCACCCCAGGGACACCTCTTGCATCCAAGGTGAAGATTTAGTCTAAGCCTGGAAAGTTAGCTCTGGTCTTTCCCAAAAAGGCTTATTGGATTGAGTCGCTATTGAAATAAATATACTAATAAAGAACCTACTTGTCAATGGCCAGACGACAAATCTTTTGAATTGGAAAAACTTCTATATTTAAAAAAATTTTTAGAGAGCTCTCATCATAAGCAGCTGCCTTATTCGTATTTATGGGAGGATCAAATGGAAAGGAGGACACAAAAAAAGTACACCAGCTAGCCTTAGAGATTCCCTCGACAAAATTAAAAAGGAAAAGTCAGAATTAGAGCAAAAATTAAAAACCAAATCTGATGTAAATTCCCCCACTCCTCCCTCTTATACTCCCCTTTTTCCTCAACTTCCTGCCTTTGACCCCCCAGAAGATCCTTGAGATCTCTGGGCCCCTGGTCAAAATCCCCTCCCTCAAAATCCAGTTCAAAACCCAGCTCCAGCTCCTCAGCCAATTCTCTTAACTCCTAAAAATCCTCTGACTTCTCCAGAAAACCCCTTAAATGCCGAGCTACCTAATTTAACTTCCCTCTCTTGACAAGGTTTACAGAGGGCACTTCAGTCTGAACTCCAAGCTGGAGGAATACAGGTTACTTATATAAATGCTGAAAGTCAGGAAGTAAAGTCGACAGAAGCACCTGGGAGGGGTGGTCAGGCTCGCTTTGTCGTCCCTTATGACTCCTCCTACTTTCCAGGGCTCAATAAACAGACCGTGCCAACTTCAGACATCCATATGCAATACCCCATGCAGTGTCCTTTGCGGATGTATCCTGGGCCATCGCCACAGAGAATTCATGTCCCCTGGACAACAACTGATCTTTTAAATTATAAAACCTTTCTACCTCCATTGTCAGAAGATTCTATAAAATTTAGAGAGGAATTAGAAAGATTAGTGGCTATCCATAACCCAACTCATCGAGACCTTGACTCGCTACTATGGGGCATTCTTCCAGCCCATGATTATACTGTAATTATCAGACAAGCCAGACGGCCCCCAGGAGAAACCCTCCCCCATAGGGGAAAAGGCCTATTTTCAGATGGTCAGAACCTCTCCCAGGCCTGCCTACAAATGCCCAGGAAGTAGCTCAATAGGAGGCTGATATTCAATGGTTAATAGGAGCAATACTAGAGGCATTCTCTCCCAAAGTAAATTGGTCTAAGGTGAATTATGCACCCAGAAAGAAGGATAACACCCAAAAGCCTTTGTTGAATGTTTAATACAAACTTTCCAGAGGCACACTGCATTAAATCCAGAAGCCCCAGAGCATAGGAATCTCCTAATCTCTGCTTTAGTGGGAAATTTTCTCCCTGATATTAAAAAACAAATTCAAAATAGCGTGGTTAGGTGGTCAGGGCAAAAGTTCAGTGTAATAATGGAAGTAGCAACACAATTCTTTGAAAACAGTTCGCAGGAATGCAGGAAAAAAAAGGAGTTAAAGGCTACAATTCTTGCTCTGCAGCTTGAATCTTTAGAAAAACAAAAGTATGACTCTGAGAGTAAATTAAAGCCCACTCAGAGCGCTTTCTATCATCCTCAGACAGTTGTAGATATGGCAAAAAATCAGGACATTGGAAGAGAAATTGTCCTGTATTAAAGCAAAAGGAAAATTTAAGAAGCAATCCCTCCAAGTGCAAACAGTCCTCTCAGAAAGTTCATGTTTCTCCCTCTAAGGGGCAATTTCCCCTCAGTTGACGGGGTCAGCCGATCTTCAGTCGCACCCCAGAACCTACCATTAAACTTACTTAAAATAGAGGATCGGGAACTAGATTTCTTTCTTTCTTTTGTGAGGAAGATCCGCCCTGAGCTAACATCCGCCAATCCTCCTCTTTTTGCTGAGGAAGACTGGCCCTGGGCTAAAATCCATGCCCATCTTCCTCCACTTTATATGGGATGCCTGCCACAGCATGGCTTGACAAGTGGTGCGTTGGTGTGCGGCCGAGATCAGAACCAGTGAACTCCAGGCCACTGCAGCAGAGGGCGAGCACTTAACTGCTTGCGCCACCAGGCAGGCCCCAGGAACTGGATTTCTTAATTGACACTGGTGCAACTTTCTCTACTATCTGCTCAGAAGATTTATCCCCACCTGTCACCTCTGATTCAATTCAAGCAGTAGGAGTCTCTGTTTCATTCCCTGTATCTCATCCCCGCCACCCCCCGCCAGTATCTTTAGGCCCTCTTAACACTCATCATGCCTTTCTCATTTCCAGTCGCTCACCAGCAAACCTTCCCAGTAGAGATTTATTATGTAAATTTAATGCCACTATAAATTGCAATGAAAAAGGCGCTTTTATTTCCTACCCTTGGACCAAGCCCCAGATTACCTACTTTCCTTACTAGAACTTATCCCAACTTAAATTCCTCTGAAAAAGAAGAATCTTTAAAAGATGTCCCAAGCAAACTCTGGGCTACACATGCAAATGAAGTAGGATTGTCACTAAGTGCAAAGCCCGTGCGCATTACTTGGAAAAAAAATAAACTGTTTCCATCAGTAGCCCAATACACTCTCTCCAGAGATGCAGGGCAAGGAATTAACACTATAATTAACTCTCTTTTACAGGAAGTTGTTTTAATTTTTTCCTCCTCACCCTACAACACCCCAATTTTGCCAGTAAAAAAGAGGTTAAATTGGATTCAGATGGAAATCGTGTCTATCGATTCGTACAGGACCTAAGAGCTATAAACTCTTTTGTGATCCCTCGCCATCCTGTGGTCCCTAATCCAGCTGTTATTCTAACCTCAACTCCTGCTGATGCAGCCTGCTTGACAGTGATTGCTCTCTGCTCAGCATTTTTTTCAATCCCATTGCGCCTGACTCACAATTTCTTTTCGTGCTTAGGTTTAAAGGGAGACAATTAACGTGGACTCACATACTTCAGGGATATTGTGAGTCCCCCTCAATATTTTCCCAAGTCCTTAAAGCAGACTTGGATTCTATAGCCTTTACCCAAGGCTCCACACTTGTTCAGTATGTTGATGACCTTTTACTTTGTAATCAAACTAAGCAGGGAGCTCTTACCG